GACCGGTCGCTCACTCCTTCACTTGCATACTAAATGTGAGCCATTTTCCAACACATGAGAGGACGAGGGAATTTGTATCTTTGTAATAAGATTTCAGACCCGAAACCCGACACGACTCGACCCAGATAATTCCATATGCTCACTAGTGACACAAAAGTGCTTGCGCTGCGTTTTGGGTAACCCAAAGAAGTTGCAATCTGACCCAAGTTGTCTATTGCTGTCAACGTGCCTCCAACACCACAAATGCATGCCATGAAAAGAATGAGCATGTCAATGCTGAAAAGTGCTTGCAGTATGGTGTAGTCCTCACCTCTGTCTGGTGGCCTAAACATGGTTTTCCAACACGACGCGGTGGGTGGTTCGGCCTCAGTTGTGGTGGTGGCGAGCGTTTCCCTGGGTCGTGACTGATCATCAGACGTGACTTCTGGTTGAGGCTTCTCCGTAACTATTTTCAAGTCTGAACCGCCGTTCAACTCAACTTTCTTGCCTTCCCAGATCTTAAACTCCTCAATAATAACCACAGCAAGTGGGAGGACAAGCAAGAAAATAACCATGGCAGCACTTGCACCATACTCACTTTGATTAAATGTCACACTCTTTTCTACTATGATCATGATCATCAAAAACCCAGCAAGCCCAAGTGAGATATACAGCATATTAAAAAACACTTTGAGCTCATTGGGTCGCCTAGTGACCTTCATGATCCGAATTGTACGCAGAAAGGCAAAAGAAATGACAGAAGGAAGCCACCCAATCAACAAAATCAAAGCCTTGGTGTCATCATAATAAAAAGCAAAATATAACTGTGTGATTATAGCACCACTGAGCCCTACGTAGCCCTTCAAAATCCCCAAAACAGCCCCACGGCTTTCTGGGAAATTTTTCACACAAGTGACCAGAGCGCCAGTGTTTGCAAAAGACTGAGAATTTGCACCTATACAAATGTAAAGGCACATATGCCAAACTTGGGGCCTGGCAATTTTTTTGGTCACAGCCATCCAAATCATGAAGTACCCAAAAAAGTTGAGCACAGCACCAATTGATAAGACCACCCATGGGGGAGTGACCTCGTTGATAAGACCAGAAAGGATACCAACATTGGCACCCAGGTCCTTGAAGAAGCTGAGGAGATTGAGGGTAGTTTGGTCATAGCCAAGCACAGATTTGATGTCAGCGGAGTATATGCCAAACATGTAGGTGGCTCCAGCAGCTGACATGATCAAAAGAGAAGCAAACATCATGAACCACCTTCCATTGAGGACTTGGAGGGTGAGGGCTTTGGTGTTTCCCCAACCTCCTCCTCCACCAGCTCCAGAAACCACCATGATTTTTGGTCTCTGAATTGCACCACCAAATCTCTCACAAGTTTGTTTGTGAAGTGAAGAAGTTGGGGAGGTAAGCAATATATAGAGGCAAAAGACAGAGAGCAATTAAAGACAAAAGAAAAATAATCTCCCAAAAAATAAAATAAAAGAGTAGTGAGACCAAATTTTTATTTGTTTATACAAGCGGTATTAGGGATGGGTGATGGGGGATGGACCCAGATTATAAATTTAAGTAAATGATAAGGACTGAATTGCAAAGGCAATAACAAAATAGGAAAGAGGAGCTATATCCTATTCTTATAAGGGTAATGCTAGGCTTACCACATTTTCATACCACGTTGTGTACCACATCTCTAATAAGGGTAATGCTAGGCTTACCACATTTTTCAT